TATATCCCGGCGATACGGGGGATTATCAGGCTCTGTGTGAATATCACAATGCAATATATAGAAACAAAACTACATCACCATACCACCACCGTGAGAATCGTACGTGAAAAACATCGTATAGGCGAAAGAACACCAAAAAATAAACATGGAAATAAAAATATGTCATTGGTGCACATGCGAAATCATAAATTACAAATAAAGTCATGCTACGAAAGTTAAAAATCTGGTGCACGTAACACACAACTATCACTTACGGCTCAACTTTGAAAAGGAATTATTTTCTGGCTATGTTAGCCTATTATTAAATTCTTGAATTGCATTTCTAAACGAGCTAAAGCTTAAAGCTTATAGCTAACAGATCATAAATACCATTAAAATAAGAAAAATCCTATTTATTATATCACTGGTTCAATATGGATTGTAGCATCCGTTGATTATGGATTTTACGACTATTAATTATTCAACTGTTATTTTCCATTGCAAAGTTTACTGAAATGGAATTACAATATATGCATTGTCTGTCATAGACAGGTCAAGAGTTGTCACATTAATTGTAAATGGATACCATTAACTGTTAGGATATCACTAAAGTAAAATTTATCAAATTATCCACTAATTAAATTTTATAAAAGGTTACATGATGATTTTCCGGGATAAACAGACGATATATACCTAATTATTTAAATATAATCTCAGATCTAGCGTTATTAAACTACAGAAAATATATTTATGGTTATACACATATCGACGAAATATTTTTATATTTCACTTCTTCTTTCACAGAAGTACAACGAAATAGTAACTTGAACAATGTCATTGCCTTGATTCCGTGGATTTCAAATAATTTTTTTCAAATTTAAAAAAAATGAATAGTTTATTTATAGTAAGAAAATTGCATTTAATTTCCTTGAAAACGGGTGATTTATGTTAAATAATGTTAGTTTTTATAAATTATCATTTATATATTTTTCTCCGTTACCTTCTACAACTTTCTATATTAGATATTGTTTTTTCTAAAATTTTCTGCTTTCTAATGATATATATTATACGTATACCTTCTGAATAGTATTGCCGGCGATTCATTTTCGAGCAGGATAACGATTTTTCTTCTTTTTTTTCCCTTATTCAATTACAAAATGCTTTAAAAAATTATAGTTAGCCTTTTCTCATAATGCCTAACAATGAGAAATAGTTAATTATTTGAAATAAACCAAACTAAAGGCACTTTAGTGGAGGACATATAGAACATTGGGCATTTAAGTCCTGTAAAGTGACATCAATGAGTATATGACCAAGTTATATACGTTATGATATACCGAGTTTATTTAAAATCGTTGGAGCCGTTTTTGAGAAAATCGTAAAAATATGTATCACCGTTGATATAAAGTGCCACCTCCGGTTATCCAATTTTAAGGAAAAGATTGCGGTCACATCAGAGCCATATACAAACCTTAAATACGTTTCGTACAACTTTTCATTTTTGAGCTAGACTGTTCACACACACCGACCATTTTGTGAGAATTGGTTATTTTGACTCAGGGGATCTCAAGTTGTGTATTTCCGTTGGAAATTCATATTCGAAAATTTTCACTATTGCAATACTTACCCTTATTATATCTATACATATATAGGTAAGTGAAAGTAAATACACACAACTATATCGTCTCTTCCAGTTTATAAAGATATTGTTCGTGATTTATTTTTATAAGAAAAATACGAGTTCGCAAGGCAAGAATTCTATTTCTTAACAGGCATATACATGTATATAAACAGGCAGGGCGAGCCTAACAGGTGTGGTACCATTGAGCAAGAACCAGTTAAAGTTCAAACCCAATGGCCCAAATATTACCAGCATGAAAGTAACGTGACCACAGTGCAAAACTGGCCAGACACAACTGGTCCAGTATTGAATAAATAATAGGAAAGTGCAGAACTGCATTTCTGCACATTACAGCCGTAGAAATGCACTATAGGTCGTGGACCCCTCACATCTGTAGTCATAGGTGTGTCTTAAAACCCCATTGTATTTCAGAGCCGGCGTAAATAATTTCGTCACGTACCTAGTGAGTGTAAGAGGGAAAAAATCTCTTAAGCCGAACAAGATCAAAGTAAATAGAAAATATGTACTAAAAAATACGGATGGAGTTTTGAAAATCATTCTTAGTCGAATAAATCTTGAAGCCTATAAAAAAGCTCAATGAATACCAGAATAGCAATATTTAAAAAAAATAATAAATTAATAGTTACAATGACACAAATTGTCTCCTAGGAAATAAGGAAATAAGCAGAACTTTTCTAGTAAAGCCTGTACCAATACAAATAATAAAATAAAATTGATAAACAAAGAAATATTCAAATAATGGTTGATTTAAATTAAAAGAGAAATATTTTCATTTCAATTAATCGAAGATCAGAGTTCATTTCGCGACCTTAAATCAGTGTTGCGATCGAGTACGAATACTACTCTCATCACTGATGTTGAATAACCCTTTTTTTTTTTTTTTTTTTTTTTTTTTAAAATTAGGGTTTGGTTTTTCACAAGATTGATGAAAAAATTATTTTTAAAATAATAAAGTAATGGTTGCTAATTACAAAACAAAGAAGTATTAGTGTTTTTGGTTGTTTTTTTCAGAAGCTGCTCTATTCATTTCCCTTCAAGAAATAATAATTTATTTCCTTTCTAACTTAAAAGCTTTTTTTATCTTAGAGAACATTACACTTGAAATGGTGAACAGAATAAATATATACGTGAATCATAATAATGCTCTCTCTTTAACTTATATTTTGCTTGAAAGTATATTTATTTCACAAGTAAAATATTAACTGTAGTAATCATATCAAAATCAAGAAATTATATACATTATATAATTTTTTGTAAATTGAAGAAACCTATGACATGAACATATGTTTTTTACTCATTAATATTTTTTTTAATCAAAATTTTTTTTTTAGAATAAATTATTACTCATTTTAATTTACCATCAATAATAAGAATAATGAATAAAACAATCAATCAATTATAAATATAAACTTTAGCACTATGAATTTTATTAAGGCTAACTAATGCTTTGCCAACGCCTCGAAAGTCGTCGGTGTGTGATTATGGATTCGTAGTAGATTTACAAGTGCTTGTGCTTAAGGGTTCATTTTGTAATTCAGCCTGTGAAGACTTAGGACGTGCAAGTCATTTTTCACTATTTTTCGAAATGTAACAACAAAATTCTTAATAACATTTCATCAAATTATATTATAAATGCACAATATGACGGTTCTGCTATTCTAATTTGGCCATTTCGAAAAAAAAATTATATGTGAATACTAGCCTACCAATAAATTTATACTATGGTAAGGATCTGTTTATTATTTAATTATTCAAACAATTTTTCTTCTTTCAGCAAACTATTCAAAGAATATTATGGTCAAATAGGCGATAATACAATCTGAAAATTGATATAACAGAATATAATAAAACATAACAGCAGCTTGCAGAAAGAAGATTTAAAAAAAATAATAATAATCCGATACAATAGTTTAAACCAATACAGTAGAATAAATTTAATATAATACGATTGTGTACAATTTATTTGAAATGGCCAAACGGGAGAAACGTCATATTGTACATTTCTAACAAAGTTTCCAAAGAATCTTTTTTTAACATTTTACTTTTTTGTTGGACGAAGAGTCTTCATTGTGGTCAAGTTTTGATCTCTTATTTATTATAAACATTTTTATATATCAATTATTTATTATGATTCATCTAATAAAAGGTATAAATTACAAACATTATTAAAAAACTGTGTTAATTACAGAGTAAAAAAAAATTTAATGAGTAGTTCACCAACCAGAATTTGATTACAAATAAATAATAAATATTGAATAATAAAAAGGAAATTTTATATCTTCCTTACAATAACTTAGTCCAATATTATATATATATAACTGTTAAGTATTTAAGCATTCACTTATCCAAGAAAATGCTTCTTTAAAGTTATCTTATAGGTGCACTAACTAGAGAATTTAATAAAATAGCTTAATATGCTATAAGAAAAAAAAAGTAGCAATCTCTTTTTTCTATTTTTTTTTTTTTTTAATATCGGTAAATTGAAATAGTGATATAAGAGACAAGGGTCCGCAAAATAAATTTATTAAAATGCTTACTTATTTAAAAAAAACAAATAATATGAGAAAATTTAATTTAATTAACTAACCATAATTTCAAATTATATACTACTTATTAAAAAAAAATAATGATTGTTTTAATCGTAGAGATCATAAATAATGAATCAAAGAATTTATTTCATTTTATACATTCATTATTTTTCTAGCAGGTGAATTCAATTTAGTATTATTTTAATGATTTTTGAATTTACAGCATCAACTATAAATATTAGATACTTAATTATTCCCTTAACCAACAAAACTCCCCTTTGATATTTTCCGAAATTAAGCTTGTAGTTATTGGCGAATATTAGGAACATTGCTTAATAAAACTCAGCTGCTAGAAAAGTAATCTTATATAAATTATCATTTTAAGATAATTCCGTAGTTTCATTATTATATTTATCGTCACGATTAAAACAACACTTTTCTTTTTTTTTTTAATGAGAAATATGTAGTTTAAAATTATTTTATTTATTCATATAATTTTATCATATATAAATTTATCATATATATATATGTGTGTGTGTGTGTGTATTTTTTTTTTCAGAAGTAAATAATATTTCAATAAATGTATGTTGTGGAATCGTGTTTCTGTTTCAGATATCAGTAATTAAATTTATCAAGCATTTAAGAAAATACATTAAGAAATAGCTTTAGCTTTTTTTTCTCTTAAATTATATTAAACTTTTTTATTCGATCTTCTATTGAATTTCTATAAGATGATTTAAGAAAGTTTATTTTATGATAAGTATCCCTTCATTTATTTATATGATTTCAATTTATATATATATCATAATTTTATATATATATATATTCAATTTATAGTATATATTACTCACTACTACGGCAGCTAAAGCGCAGGCGCCGAAGAGTACGATGATTGCTAGGTGCCTGATCATGGTTGTTCGGAGGTTGGGTCTGATCTGTAGCTCTTGTAATGCCGGCGCTCGCTTTCACCAGCACACGTAACCTTCTAAACCACGTAGCCCCTCTGCCCTCAGCAGACAGTGTTACCCGAAATATATATACCTTAAGGGTAGTCCTTAGCATAAATACAATAACATGTTACCGAGCACCTCATTTCCTACATTAAAATATAAACCAGTTGTGGTCACAGGATTTATCGCAATACAGAACATCCTGGAGTAAAGGCGGAATCGTCCGAGGAAATGGAGTAAGGGCAAAATACCATTTCATTCAAATGCCTCTCACGTAGCGATCATCTACAGATGTATTTCACAACTCGAACATAAACCTATTTCCTTATATTATCAAACCGAAATAGACAACTAACTACCATTTCCCTAATGTTACAGTTTACAAATTAGTTTATTCCCAGATCTCACTCCGACAGCCTCTGTATTTTCATTCAAATAGTAACTTGAAAACCTAAAATATCTAATAATTAATTCACTGTAAGGTTAAAATACATTTATGGTACAACTGAATTATTTTGATAAACCAGACGTGTATAGTCAAATAAATGTTTTAGGAGGTGGCCAAAGTTTGATGAAAAAATGTGCACTAAATAAAATATATTAAGTGGTGAATTGTTAAATAAAATAATCCCCATCTCCACATATATTATTACAGTAATGCTCGAAATTGGTTTTGTACCAAATATAAGCTCCTGTCATGCTCAAATACTATGAATGGGGTACCGTTGGATTCAGAATTTCACGGGGGGTTAGCGAATCGTATTCTCCACTATTGTATTTCTTTCTAAAATAAATAAAGTCGATACAAAGATTTTGCTAGGATTTAATACTGTAGATCGATACGGGACAAATTGGATCTTGAAGATTTTGATGCGTACAGCAAGACCCGGATAGTTCCTCCGAAACTATCGGATAATGTTTTCTTAAGCGCAAAAACGTACTATTTTCGAGATAACGCAAGGCATAGGATTCCATCTACACAACCTTACGTTAATTGTAGTACTGTCATTTAATACATGTATCATTTCGTCGACTTGAGGTCTCTATGATCGAGACAGGAGTTTATATTATTTATCGACGGTGTTTTTGATTGGTAAGCCATGTCATCGTTAATTCTTCACCAAATCTCAATATCGAGCAACCAATTTCGAAGGCTTCCTTCTCCTTCAGGCGGGCAAAATAGTCCAATCGCCACGAAAATTCAGGCAAACAAGTTATGAAAGAAAACAAACTGTATTTCCGAATAAAACAACTACACACTTTTCCCATGGGTATGCCCATGGTTATATAAAATATTACTAGATTCCCTACAAAAGGAAAAAAAATCATCGAAATCGGATAATTTATAGCAAAGATATAGTGTATTGAAATTTGTTCATGTTGGTTACAAACAAAAATGAAGATTTAAATTAATTTTTGTTTCCTTTGTCGATTATATTTATCGATAAAGTAACAATTGATTTCTTTATATTTTGATATATTGCATTTTTTTTCTTATTAATTTGGCACTTGATATCAATATGCTGTGCGAATTTTTCGCACGGGTCTACTAGTATGACGATAATTAACGCTCTCCTTGCAGGAAAATAAGGGGAATAATAGGTTAAATCAAGCTACTTTATTTAAATAACTAAGCTTTCAAATTATTTTCCAATTATTAGATTTATAAGCTAGTGTTCCTAAAATCACCATACTTCCAGTATATTTAAAGATTACATGAAGGTCCCTTATACTTTCTTTCAATACAAATTGCTACCGCGTTATTACCTTTGATCTTTGTTTTCATTTCCTATGACTAATTTAATTACAAATATGTATAAAAACGCTGTACATCATAACATCATATTACCCTTTTGGGGTTAAAGTCCATGCAGATCATTGGTCGCTCAAATGATTGCTTGCGGGAACAAAGATGACCAGGAGGATGTCATATCGTATATATCAGATAATCGCGCGGTCAATAAAACTATGTTTGCAAACTAGGCATGGTTTCTACAGTGAAACGGCGGGCTGTCCATATCTCCATCATAGGTTACTTTGGGACCAATGCTGCAGTATCTATCTTGTCGACGTACCCCCAGATTGCGTGAATCGATATAAATCCACAAATCATGGCTAGTGGATCAAAGATAAGGCAGACTATTTAACAATCTGGAAAACCACAACGTGATTCCCGATTGAGATGCATGGAGTAGGGTCATTTCTTTATTCCTCATTCTGTCTCTCCCTCTATTCCGTGTCAGCTGCCTCAAACAGGCTGCAGGTCCTCACATATCCAGGAAGGTGGAAGATCAAATGCCAAGGATTTTAAATCTTTAAGGTTTGTAAGCAGGTACACACTCTCCAAGCGCGTTAACGCTCTCCATTACCCCGAATACCCTATTTTTTTGGTTTAATCCAAAATATACCATTTTCCTCTATATACATAAATGCACGAAAAATGTGCGTATGAAACATCTATTGGAACAAAGTTCCGAATGATAATGAATTCTGATCATCTTGGTATGACATATGACGGTGGTGCATAGACGCATACTCGAGAAAAAGAGGGGGGGCGAGGGTGCTTCCCTATTCCTCCCAATAAAAATTTTGGGGGCAAAATATCGTTTCACCCCCCTCCTCCCCAATAATCTAAAAAAAAATAAAATAAAATCAATAAAAAATATGCTAAATGAATGAATAAATGTTATTATCGATTACGAAAAGTCTACTATCCACCTAAGCTATGGCCTAGTAATAGGTATGTAACGATTTTATTAATACCTAAATATTATTTTTATTTAAATTTATATTCAAAATAAAATAATATACAGTGTTTCCCGTAAGCACAGAGATATATTTAATTAGGTAAAAGTAGACCTCTAGAGCTATCAAAAACTTCCTATAAATAATAGTCCGAATTTCGGTAGAATAGTAGGAAATTAAGTTTTGTGTTTTTTTAAGTAAGTCATGGTTTTTGATGAATAGGAAGTGATAACTAAAACATAATTTGATATATTTATTCAAAATTGATTTACTGTCAACTGGATAGAATTTACTTTAAATGAAAGTGAAGTTTGTCATTGTTATAATCATTTAAAGAGGACTTTTGAGCGGATAAACTAAGCTAAGGTCTATTTTTAAAGAATTATGAATTATTTGCGATTTTTATTTTCCACCATCTAATTATACTACAGACACCTAATTTTTATAAAAAAAAAAATTCTTGTTTACCAAGCTTTAAGTCCATATTAATTATAACGAATTAAGTTGAGAATCGCCTCAAGTAGTGTAAAAACATGAGGTGTTTTGACATCCTGTCATTTTAAAGTACCCGTGTTTTGAACAAAAATGGCAATAATAAATTATTGCAAAGCTTTATTTTATTTTTTTCCCAATGCCTTGGATGTATTATCATAAACACAAATTAATAAATACAGTTTTTATTTATTACAATAAAAATGTTAAAATATTATCCCAAACCACTTGTACAGTCAATCTTTCCCGCCATTTTGGCTTAAACTTAAAGTGATGAAGTTGGATCTAACTCGATGATGTCCGTAAATTTAATTTAATTTAAAGAAATAAAAGTATTGTCATTTTTAGATCGTAACATGCGTTTTAAGATAAATGAATTTGTTTTGATTTATATTAATTATGAAAAACCTTTCATTAAAGACTTTTAGAAATTCTCTGACATGAGATATTGTTATATAAATAAATAAAACTCATCACAACCAGATTCGAATCCAGGACCAGTTCTATATATTTACCATTAACCAACCTCATTCCTTTATGCAGTTTTTTTTATTATTTAAAAAAATTATGAATTTTTTTTTAACTTGAATTTTCAAAATTTCAAGCAGCACTAAGGTTCAATGAATATTCTAAGGTCAAGCATAATATTCTATAAACTTCGAAAAATGGAAATTGGGAATCTCATCCTTAGGAATCTCTTTCAGCTTATAAAAACATTCTCATGAAAGTCTAGTAGGGGTATGGGAAAAAAGCAATATCAATGTATTGCAGTGTATTCTGGTAAGACTGGTAACATCTGCGAGACAATATAAAGCATTGCTCTCATGGTGTCGATATTAATTGAGATTAATATAAAAAATAGTACATAACAAAACAGGCATATTATAATTATGTTTTATTTTTTTAACTGAGATTCTGAAATAGATAATAAACTGTAATACATTTTCTCATTTATTACATAAAGCAACAGGGACCTATGATATTCCTAGTGAACTAATTAAGGCATGCGGGGAAACTGGAGTTTATAAAATAATTTTTTTTGTTAAAAATATATGGGAGAATGAGAAATTTGTTACATTCTTATAAAGCAACAGTGACCTATGATATCCCTAGTGAACTAATTAAGGCATGCGGGGAAACTGGAGTTTATAAAATAATTTTTTTTGTTAAAAAGATATGGGAGAATGAGAAATTGCCTGAAGAATGGAAAGGGTCCATTCTTATTCCGATTCACAAAAAGGGCCCTAGGACGGATTGTAATAACTATCGAGGAATTTCACTCCTTCCGGTATGTTATAAAGTATTCACGTTAATCTTAACTAATCGAATCACAGAATACGCCGAGGAAATTATCGGAGACTGCCAATGTGGATTTAGACGGAATCGTTCGACTATAGAGCAAATATTTTCTTTGCTACAAATATTAGAGAAAAAATTAGAGTACGACGCCGTTGTTCATCAGCTGTATATCGATTTCAAAAAGGCTTACAATTCTATTGACCGCCAGAAGCTGTATAATATTCTGATCGAGTAGGGGATACAAAAAAAAATAGTGAATCTAGTTAGGATGTGCTTGACGGAAACACTCAATAAAGTTAGAATCAGTCATTATTTATCCGAGAAATTTGAGATCTGTTCAGGCTTAAAATAAGATGATTCTCTTTCACCTGTCCTGTTTAATTTGTCATTAGGACATGCAATTAGAGAGGTGTTACATATCGAAAAAGGTTTGAATCTGGGTGGAACAATATCCTTGCTTGGGTTTGCTGATGATTTAGTATTGCTAAGTGAAGACAAGGAAATAATAAAACTAAATATAACAACCGGCTACGTTGATGGAAGCGGGTAAAGAACTCGAAATAAATACGGATAACAAAAAATATATGGTTAGCTGCAAAAACAGCGACAATTTCGACGATTTCGATATAGAAGAAAATGTGCTTGAACTTCGGTATCTAGGGTCTACGATAACTAGAAAAAACGAAATTGAAGAGGACCTTAAGGTTAGGATGAAGGCGGTTCCAGTTGAGCTATTCCAGTTGCCAGCATGCAGCTCTACATCTCTGTTGATTTGATCTATGAAACATGTTTTTGGCCTTGCATGTGTTCTCTTGCCAACAATTGATAAGGCATTCATTGTTGTGTAGAGGCTTCCTGATGGATTGTTCGGAGCTACATGTATCGGTTTCTGTAAGCAGTAGATTTGAATTCAAAATTAAATGTAGCTTAGATCTACAATATTTATTTAAAATTAGTGTTACAAGATTAATTTCATAAAACGTTATTAACTCAAAATTCATTTTCATTTATTTATTTTGTTTTATTAAAAAATTTATTTATAAAACTGACGTTAATTAGTTATTGACTCTCTAAAGTGGTTAAGGATGTTCATATTATCTTTCTTAACAGATGAAATATACAGAGCAAATTATAGTCAGTAATTACTATCCATGACACAACTTGGAAAGGAGGTCAGGCGTTTGAAAGTCAGCCCGTTTGCAATGTATTTAATATCCAGTCGGGCCTAAAATCAAGGGTTAATAGAATTATTGTGAAGCAGAGGACCGATTAACATTTACCATTAACAAGTTATAAATTTGATTTTCATAAATACTACAAGTCTAAACAAGTACCCGAAATTTATTTAATTTGAAATCTTTATAATCTTTTTTCCATTTCATAAACAATACTTCATTCCGAATCCCTGATTTAAAAGAGGATAGACTGTGCATTTGCTATTTTAGAGAGGCAGAGGAAATTGAGGTGCAAAAAAAAATATGTTTTTTTAAGCTTAAGTGAATTATTTTATTTACCCATGTAGGTATGTGCCAAAACTTAAAAAAATAATTCAAAACAAAAAGATGTATATTATTATCCACCGCACAAAACTATCATCCAACCTACATTTTTAATGTACACCAATAACATCTTTCCAATTGGGATTCGTCATTTCTATATGAATGGTTTCTTTTGATACCTCGTTAATCAAAATCCTTCAATACTGAGATGTGGAAAAGAGCCTCCCTATACTGCATACAACAGTCTCTCAACAAGAATAATTCAGTAGAACAGACATCAATACTGTTGAAATATTGAAAAAACACACATACCTACGAATACGAAAAAACACAATAACCAACTACCAATTTCGATCGGAGTAAGTGACCTAAATTAAAAATGTTGGTATTCAGTGAACGTGGAATATGATTGTCTCCAGCTTTTCATCTATGAGTTTATTCTCTAAAATCAGCGTTCGTTGACCAAACTGCTTGACCAAATTATTAAGTATAGGTACTCGTTCAATGCACAATTTAATGCTCTTAAATTTCTTAAAGAATAAGTTTTTCGCTTGGATGCACCGTTCAGGAGTTACGGGGATAAAAATAAAAATGGTCTACAAAATCTTGCTTTTGTTTCCCATTGTTGACTTGCGTTATTTTTTTCGTTCTCCTTTTCCTTGCCTTCCCGCCGGTTTTCCCGGGTCAGAGATTGAGGGCGGAGGATTAATGCCAGAGTTAAAAGCCTCCATCGGCACCGGGACACGAACTCGTAATCATTTTTATCAATTATCTCATATATCAGGTTGTCGAGAAACGGCAGTACTGTTCACAGGCGTTAGCCCACTCTGCCACCCAGCTCCCAATTTTGCTATTCACATGTTTGAACCTATAAATACAAGTTAAAAAATAAATACTTTTTCCACATTTTTTGTATTATATTTCTCATTTCGATTCTCGAGTTTCTGGCCTAATATTCTTTTAAAACCATCCTTTTTGAAAGGATTAGCTCTGGAAATACAGATAAGGTTCATTTTGCTTATAATAACATACACTTTCGTAATTTACATTCAAACATTTGCCTGCAGCAAATACACTTTTTAAGCCCTGCTCCAAGTTCTCTAATGCAATTCCAAAGATAAAAAAAAGGTCGTTCATTCTGAACAAAAAGAATTCTTTCATGATCTAATCCATTAAAAAGAATTTTGTATATTTAAAAAAAAAATTGAAATTATCCAATTCTCAATAATTCAACAATTCTCTCAGTAGTCTGATTCGTAGGTAAGGAATTCAAAAGTATTATAAGTGTAAAATTAATATTGGGTAAAATGGGTGATTTGGAGTTTATAAGGTACTACTATTTATAGTCACCAACTGTTTTTAAGGTGGTCTAATAATGTATTTAGTATTTGTTTTAAACTTTAGAAGCGCTTTCAGTAAAATATTTTATTTTAATAAAGTAGTGAAGAAATTTTATTTAAGTGGATTTTCATTTCAAATTAAGGTATATATATATATATATATATATATATATATATATATATATATATATATATACATTATTAATACAACATATTAAATGTTGTTCAAAGTGAAAATATGGCCGCAAACGCTTTGTTTAGGAGATGGATTAGATAGAATACTAATATGGCCTTTTATCCCTAACTGTATAAAAACTATTGGCAACATGAGGCTTAATACTATTTGGAATTAGCATTGGGAACTCTCAATAAAATTTATCAGTTTGTAAGAGGCTTTCGCAGAGTACTCATCATTATGCCTTCCATTTATAATAATGGCGAATAAGCCAATATAGAGTTTGCAAACGGTTTTTCCAATGGTGAAGCTAATACTGCCTGTCGTGTATATGCCAGGCGATTTCCAAATAGAAGATTACCAAACAGGTCTATCTTTAGCTCCACATTACAAGGTAATAGAGAAACTGGTACATTTGCTATAATACCACATGCTGATGGTATTTTTGCCCCATATCAAGGAAATAACATTGAACAACATTTAAGATGAATGTTAATGTTTACATTTAATTAATAAAGTAGTTAGAACAAATAAATAGGTTTTATTTATTTCATATAACGTAAATACTTCATAACAATGGAAATCTTAAGATGTAAATATCTCCTAAATAAAGCGTTTGCAGATATACCTTCAGAAATGTTTTTCTTGTTTTGAGGTCCTTAGTTCATTTTTTGCAGTTTGGCCACTTAACCCTGAAACACCCTGTAAATATATATAATCATTCAATTTATCTAAGGAAATAGTACATAAGAAGATAGATTTTCGCCATTTTGAATTTTTCAGCAGACTAAAAAGAATCCATGAAGATTCTACAATGTATTTTTTTCATATCATGTATTAAATACATGCAAATAGGTCAAACTAAACTTACACTCAGATAATCATAATAGATAAAAAAAATCCTAATCATAGTGGAGTCATTGTTGAACCTTCAACCGTTGGATCTCTGTCACCAGTCTAAGCCTACCCATAAAAATACTGTAGAGTAAAATCAAACTCAGCATCCTTCTGGATAAAATAGGAGTTCTATTATCACTCACAAATAGCTTCTTTTTTTTTTTAATTATTGACAGAAATTCAGGGAAGAAATGGTAACAGGTATATCATAAAACAAAATACTATCACCTTTATTTATATACCTTTACTTTCAAACACGAAAATGTGACAAAAAAGTAAGCATACATAAACCAAAGGCAGATAAATTGTGAAATAAGACTGATACATTTCCAATATGTACATCAATTTATTTTATTTTAATAATACAAGAAAAAAGTTATACAATAGTGATATAGTTATGGAATGAATTAACAATTTATATTGTATTTATTTAAATAAATAATATTTAACTATTCTAACATGTATATACAACAAATTCATTCATAAATAAAAAATATATAAAATAGATCTATACCAACAAATACAAATGTATGTATACACAAAATCATGTACAACAAATTTTTTAGTTCCGACATATTCACAGTGAATTAGGTACACATACATACCTATACATTACAAAACATTTTAAAAGTCATACATATAGAACTGTTTCTTTAGGTGATTTCAAGACTCTATTGGATCAATGAGTGATTTAATGAAGTTATTCCCATTGATAAGTTTTGTTGTAGCGACCACAAATTCAACATTGGCTAAAAAATAAAATTTATAAAAATCTACAGAAACAAAATTAATAATCATTAAAAAAATTATGAAATATATCTTTACAATAAACAAGGTAATTTAATTGTTTTAAGTTGACATTTTTTGGTGAATGCTTTAGCACCTTTAGATCTATTAGAAAACTATCTTCTACCACGGCTTAAATGCCTAATTTTCAAAATTTCTTCCTCTAAATTACCTTTAATTTTTTTTTATTTGAAATAATTAACTATTTCACATAGTTATCTAGTATAAAAAATGGCTAAATATAAAATATAAAAGAATTTAATAGTTACCTAAAGATAAAATAAGGGATCCTAATGGGGAATAGTAGTAATAGAGGGGTATGTAGTAATGTCGGGACCGTAGAAAACCCGAGCTCGACTGAAAGGTTATCTTATCTTACACGAGCTTAATATAATATGGGCTTCGATAATATTATATACACATGCAGTTTTCATAAATGCTAGAGTATTATTTAATATTTAATTGTGTAGATTAAAGCAATATAAACATTAAGTAAAATTTCAGTTTTTATTTTTTTATTTTAAGCCAACATTACCCCGATGTTTTCACTTCAAAATCCTAATAATAAGTTTCAGCTCGTTGAGTCATTTTCAAGTCTAAACAAATTTTTTCAATTTACAATCATATCTAATATTATTTTGTTAAAATTTTCCATGCATTATTTATATTTCAAAATATAAAAAATTTTATAATTACCAATCATGCACTTGTCCATCATATAATACATGCGTCTTCTCATGATAGTCAGTATCGTGTTCATCAAATCTATTTTTAACTATTACATTACTTTATTATTATAAAATTTATTTATTCTTATTAAAAGATGTATATAATGTTAAATTACCATATTATATATGAGCCCAGATGATACTAGCTATTAAGAGAAAACGCATATATTTTACATAAGAAATATAATGCATAAGTGCATGTAGGTAATTATAAAAAATTGTATATTTTGAAATATGTGAGTTTTTTAAAATGTATCAATGATCATACGAATAATTATGCATAGAAAATTTAAAAAACAATATTAGATATGATTGTAAATTGAAAAATTCTTTTTAGACTTGAACATGGCTGGATGGGCCGAAACATCGTAGTAGGATTTTGAAGTGAAAACATCGGTGTAATGTTGGATTAAATTTTAAAAAATGAGAAACTGGAATATTATATGACACTCAAATGTAAAAAAAGAATATTGGAAATATAAATAAATAAATTCTTTATGAGTCGCACTCTAGTCGGATTAAAAATATTTCATGACAATTAATATTATAATTAAATAAATAATTAAAATATACAGCCATAAAAGGAAATGGTTAGTGATAAAGAAATATAAATATAATACACTCGACGGCTATGGAAAACATATGGAAATTAATTGTTTTAAATAATATTTCGTACAGTCAATAACTTTACTTTCACTTCTGTTTGTCTGAAAATAATAATTTCTGCTAAAAAAAAATGGTGGTAAGTGACAGTAGTGTGATGCACACACCGCACCAGATTTTTAATAATGTGTTAATTAAAATTTCAAAAATCTCTTAACTCTGTTTATAAAAAAAATACTTAGGAAAGATTTATTAAATAAAAATTTTAATATTTTGACCACTAAAATATGTTTGTTAGGGTACGCTAAAATCGATAAAACATATATGTTATCACTTTTTGGCAATAAAACTTCAACTTAATAACTAACAATTACCCAAAACACACATCACAATGAAAGTTTAATCAATTTTGCAATATGAATATATTTTTAATTAATTCTAAATATTTCAGGAAAAATTAGATTACATTTTCAACTTACAGTCTTCCTGTTGGGACAGGAAACGGAGCGCTGATATTTCAGCATATGTACAACCTCCTAAGAAAAATACCAGAACGACCTTCGGACTGTCATTGATAGACGATGTTTGACTTCCAACTGATGCTCCTGAAACAACAATTTAATCTATATCTCATACAGAGAAAATTACTGAAAAATTTAAGTCAGTGATTTAATTAGGAATCAATTTTTGATCAATTTTAGGGAGAATACCAAAGTCAATAAGATACTGATAAACAACAAATATAAATACAGATGATTACTTCTCCTATTCTGACTGCAATATCTAGATGATTGTTTAACATCTAGGATCGGTCCAGGAAGCAAAGACAAAACATCAGTCAGATTTCCCCAACCTCCATGCCTTACAATATGTTGCACCAAGCGCACACTAAGTGGGGCATAAATGCTATGGACATAATTTATATCAACTGGTGCCACTTCGCTACCATCCTCCACAGTCAATCTTAGAGTCTTTCTTAGAACTGTATAACCGCGAGAACCTTGCTGAAAATTAATTAATCTTTATACCATGTACTTATTAATTTTCATAAATGAAAACATATCATCAACAAATAAAAATTATAACTTTAATTGACTATTCACAGCAATATCTTTCAATAAATCACAAAATTATGCATTGCTCATTATAAAATCAAGATTACTAATTTGAAATAACAAACTTATATTTATAACTATTAGCTATTTTGGGTCAATATAAATATTTGATGATTGAACCACAATGAAAAAGATATTTAAAAATCTATACCTGCACTTTCAATAAGCCAGCATCTTCAAGATTTGTTAAAGTAAGTATATGTTCAAAACCATAAGTATGAAGGATTTCTCTTTTATAATAATCCAAGACCTTTGGTTTCAACCCACTGTTTGTAGCAGACTGCATACATATAAGTCTAAGAACCTAAAATAAAAAAATATTAATAAGAATAAAACAGTTATAAATTAATGTATTATAATATCTTTGCATTAACATAAAAAATCATCAAATAAGATAAATAGGACTAAGTTGGTCACTTATATATAAGTTTATACTTCTAAGTAACATTGAATACATTTTAGAGAATAAAAATCTAGTTAAACATTTATAAAAGGAATTTTTACTGATCCTAACACTATCACTTATTTCAAAATGTTTATAATACATGATTACAACTTGTTCTTGAATGTATATCAAAACATTTAGCAAAACAAAACATCTGGAAGTTATTAATTTTTAGACTAGGATTATTTTTTTTTTTTTTTTTTTTTGTGAGAACATTAAAAGGAATAAGAACATCTAAAACATTTTCTCTCAAAAATAGAAGAACTATAGGATGTAATAATTTTCTATAGTTTCACATCCTTGTATCAGATTTTTTTTTCATTTTTTAAACAAAATAAAACAAATACAATACATTTACAGTTAATGAATAATAATGATTCAAAATTACTTTAATGAGAGGTTGCTCATGAGCAATACAATCTTCAATGTGAGACTGAACTCTGTCAGTATCAACACCCAACATCAGTTCTTGTTCTAACTGCAGGGAATCAAGGAACTCACTTGAATCAGTCACTTGCTTTATAAGCTCAGCAATTGGAGTATCTAAAGAAACAAATATATTTCAATAATAAACGGATAAAGACTCTGGTACTATTCCATTGTTGCAGTCCACATAGAAGGCAAACTCCTAATCTTTTATTCTACTAAACATTCCAATGACTGTTAGGAAATATTAGTCAGAGAGATGGCAACAGTTGTAATCTAACAGATTATTTTATTCTTACATAAATTACTCCAGTTATATTTAATAATTGAACAAAGCCTAGGTGGTTTTTTCCACCATTTTAATTATTAATTTAGTTATTGTTTTAGGGACAAAACTATCATACTGGATAATATTAAATATATATTCCTTTGAAAATAAACTGAACTGAAAAATAATTTGAAAACTAACTATTTTTATCTAAAAACTAGAGAATTAATAAATTTTCATGGAAAATCTAAATTATCAATATCTGTTCCGTAAGGCTTGTACACCATAGGTCAAGAATCTTATTAATGTTTTTAAATACCTTAAATGAAAGAAACGGAGTACCATAAGCTACAATAATGATTAGTATTAAGGTTGAGTACTTTAAAATACTTTGGTTTCTTAATGATTGGTTGATATAATTACTACAAATAATACTTGCTATGTTCACTTTAGGAACATAGCTACTCCTGAAAGATCCTAACTTAACTTTTATGGTTGAAACCTTTTCAAGCTACTTATGTATGGTTATTATGTATTATGTATGGTTAAGCTACTGATAACACATATACGGTTTGTGATAATGACATATAAATGATAAAAGTTTTGTTTTGAAGTGATTTATGAATTGCTTTGAAAGGGAATATAGCCTTCATGGGGAAAGCAACAATCAAAGATTACCAAAACTTACTTTATTACTTTTAATTAAACCAAATCAACAATAAAGTTATACGAATAAATAATCTATTAAAAAAGAAGAATGTTTAATGTGTGAATAATGAAACATAGAAATTAGACAAGATTATAGACTTTGTTCCATAACAAAATTTATAATAACAAAGCATCTAATGATGACGGATTTTGGTAATAACCCAAATAAAGCTTATAAACTGTGAATAATGTTTCATTATTCAAAAAAAAGTTTACAGGAAATCACATTCATTCTTAAAACATAGAATAAATAAATAAATGAGAGGTTGCCTTGAAATTTCACAAGTTAAAGGAACAAGCTATTTATCTCTAAAACTTCATAATTCATTAAAAGTCTCTAAAGTCAAATACATTAAAAGCAGTAGCTTTTTTACCTGTGATACAGAATTTGCCATATTTATGGTTGAGTGTAGCTATCTAGTGTGTGAATGATGATCTATTAAAAATTTCAGAGTGTCTACATACCAGCATCATCCCCACACAACTGAGCCACTCACTACACATTGGTACAATAATTTTTTTTTTTTAATTGATAAGTTACTTTGTTTCTTCACAAAACTTATTTATTTGAAGTTTTTGTAGTTTATATTTTAATAGTTACAATGAGTCCATGACATAAAATTTGGTGTTGTACATGAAACACTTACAACTATCCAATGAAGTAAAGGAAACCAGAAGAAAAACCTGGCGCGGTGCGAGTATCATACAATTTCCACTTACCATTCTCTTAGTGGAAACAATCATTTTCAGACAAAGGGGAAGTTAAACTAAAAATTATAAATGCTATATTGATTTATATTTCATTGTGGATATTTTTATTTATTCAAGTACCCTTATACATACAAATTTTAATATTTATATCGCCGTAATCTATACAATTAATTAATACCAATGAAAAAATTTAGGAAAACATATGTATATGTATATATGCGTATGTATATGTACATAATATTGTCGGAGTTGATATTATATTATGCTCATGTTACTATGGACGCCTGTTCTAATCTTCGGTTGAGCTTGTGTGAGTTCGTATCCCTTCAATACAACTATTCTCTGTTACGATCTCTTAATTCTATTTTAGCTAATTATCAAATTCTTTCATATTTTATATTTAACTATTTTTTATATTAGAGATCAAATTGAAATGGTTAATTGTTTCAAATAAAAAAAATTAACGGTACTTTAGAGGAAGCCAATATTAAAAATTTGCCATTTAAGCCTTGTTAGAGAATGTCAATGAGAATAAAACCTATATAATATTAAAAACTGCTTAATTTTACACTGATATAATGAATTTAATCAACATTGTTGGAGCCAGTTACGAGAAAATAATAAAAATGTGGTTCATCGATGATATAAAGTGGCACTTTCAGTTAGCCGATTTTGACGAAAAAGTTGCTGTAATATCTCAGGTATATACAAACCTTGAATATGCATTTTCACATTCATATGACTTTTCGTTTTTTGACCTGTCACATACAAATACACAGACACACACACATATAAAACACTTTGTGGGACTTGGTCATTTGGACTCGGGAGATCTCAAAATATGTATTTCCGTTGAAAACTCAGATTCGAAAATTTTCACGATAACAATATTGTCCCTACCATATAATTCATATATAGGTAAGTGAAAGTAAAAAGATATTACTATTGATAATAATTATTGGCATCATAATGCAACTTACGAATGCCAAGAGATTTCTTTATAGCTAGAATATGAGGAAGCTTTGCAACAAGAACTTTCATCTGTTCAACACTTCCCATTCCACTTCTTTCCTCAAGCTCTGATTTAATCATGTTAGCCCTTTTGCTTAAAACAGCACCTACAGCAAGAAAATTTTTGTCCCTTAAAAAAAAAATAATAATAAATTATAATGATCTTATTAATTCCTAATTAATCAACAGCAGGAAATAAGTATTTATAATACAATTAATTATGTACCTAATTTCAGCAAATAGTTCATCAGCTGAATTTAAAATAACTTGCTTTTTATCTGACATAATATCTTTTTCATCTTCAGTGTCAAAGTTTTCAGAAGGGAAGTGAGCAGTAGCTGAAAATAAATTAAATTAAAAAAAAATCATATTTAAAATAAATTGAATTTTAAAAAAATTAGAGTGCTACCAGTGGGTAGTTTCTCAACAAGCGTGTTTCATATGATAATATTTCTTTGTACACATTTACTTGATGTATTCATACTAATACAGTTGTAAATATCATAATAAAAGTTTAAAAAAAGTTTGAATTTAAAAAAAAAAATTCAAAATAATACAATCAAAAATTTAGTCTTTATAAAAACAATAAGAAAATAGTTTTATAAATATAAAACTCACTATTTTTTATTTCAAACAACTCATCTATGAGTCCTTCATAAGTAAGTTGTGTAGCTAAAGGTGTGAGCAAGTCAACAGTTCTATCCAAAAGTATTAGGTGGTCAATTTGTGAAGTGCTAGGATAAGTTCTTGGTTCTAAGTCTAGGCGTTCAAGCAACTTCCAAACATGTCTAGCCGCATCACCTTTACCAGTCACTTTAGGTATAACACCATACAATTCCTGGAGGGTAAATATAGCCTGTGCAGCTTGGTATAAAGAAGTTGGATCTTTTTCTAGATGGAAATCCTATAACAGTATCAAGATGATAATTATACTACAAAAGATAATGTCAATTGTTATATAAAGATTATTTTAGCATTTTTAATAATATTAATCTCTTTTTTTAAATCTTTAACTGCTGATGGCAGTGCGAGGGATGTGGGGCGGCTAGGAAAGATGGACTTAACCCATTCCAGATGCAAAGTGAAATGGGAAGGAGCCCTCCGATTAACCTTTTCTCTTGCTTATAGAATAGTTTCTTTTTATAAGTTCATACCATCCTTTTTGATGTGAACTTTAGATACAGCACTGGCAGGGGCGGGATGGCCAAATGGGCTAATGCGAGTGCACAGCACCACAGATTACCGAAGTACGAGTTCAAGTCCCGGTGCCGGAGGGGTTTTGAATTCTCTGCTCTCACCCCCTCCACCTCCCCTCCCCTGGCGCAGAAAAACCTCTTATAGCCTAAAAGGCGAGGTAGTGGAAAAAAAAAAAAAGATAAAGCACTGGTGGAGTTAACTTTTTTTACTTTCAAATATCTACATACCAAATTTACAGTTATGGAAAGTGTTATGACCATAAAATATTTTAAATTTGAGTTTTTAAGTTAATAATATGTTTAGTAAGTTAATTGTCCAAATAACTTCGAGTCCGAAAAATCAAAAATCCCAAAATGGTCTCTGTGTGTATGAACAGCCTAGCTCAAAAACAAAAAGTTGTATTGACCTGGAATGGCGTATTTAAGGTGGGAATATGGCTGAGATTTTATAGAAAACTTTTCTAACTAGAAAACTAAAGAACTAGGAAAAGACAGAGAAGATGTCCTGTTGGGTACTATACTTCTTCATGCCTAAAATACCTCTCCCTCTACCTCTCACTCTCGCCGCGTGTAATGCTGGATCATTTTCTTATATGCCTCATTCTTCCGGGTTGAGCATTCTAGGCAGTTATCGTCGAACCACAGTGTCCTGGCATTCCTTGTTTGAGATCAGAGCATCTCCTTCGCTATATCTTTGAGAGCTTTGGCTATTCCTGTCCACTGATCATCCAATATCTCGGCTCTCTCTCTCAACTCCTCCGCGAGTTTAACTTCCAATCGCTGCCGGTATGTTATCACTGTTCTATGTCTTTTAATATGGATACATCATATTTCTGTTGGGCCGGACCAGCTGCTACATATCTTTTCGTTGATATTCGTGGGCGGATACTGGCGATGCTCAAGAAATGATCCGAGTCGACGTTTGTGCCTCTGTAGACTCTAACTCCAATAAGGTTAGATCTGTTGCATGAGCTAATCAAAATGTGGTCTATTTGGTTCGTGACTGCCCCATTTGGCAATCTCCAAGTGGCTTTGTGGATGTTCTTGCCTGCAAACAATATGCTGCCAATGATCAGACCGTGTGCTGCAGCTAAGTGTATAAGCCTTTGACCATTATCATTTGTGCTCTCATGTAGACTGAAGGCTCCTGTTGTTCGATGATAAATGGTTTCTTGACCAATTTGGGCATTAAGATCACCAAGTTAAGCATTAAGATCACCAAAAATGATCTTGTTATCATTTTCGGGGCAGTTCTTGAAAGTGCTTGCCAATGCTTCGTAGAAGAGACCCATCACAGCCAAAATCTATCCTCAATTAATGCCTTTCTCAGGCTCAAGTATCCTGGAAAACACCTTGCTGGGCCCAATGAGCCCCAGCATTCCATTTATTGCCACAAACTCACACATTTTTAAGAAGGAATAAAATACTGCCTGCATAAATGTGGACAGAGTATTGGGACATGGACATAACTGCCAGCATATATGAAGAAATAGCTGTTAAATAGTTAAATAAAATTGGATTTAAGAAATTATTATTATAATGCAAAAAGCTAGAACTACATAATTAGCTAAGTTTATAACTACAAACCTTCGTAATAAAGAATAAATTTGTATAATACAAATCTGTATGAATAAAAAACATACTTAATAAACTATATTTCAAGTTTTTTAATACATTAATTCATCATAAAATATACCTTAAAAGTAGTTTCTACTTCCATAGACAAAACATCACTATCAAAAGGAAATATATCACATGGCAGATCTTCTATAAGATTGAAATTCCCATAAACACCTTTTGTCTAAAAATCAACATTGAATGTAATTAAAAGTATCAAATAATATGCTATGATAAATGAATCTCAGACAAATTCATAATAGAAATATAAAGATGAAATTTAATGGTATAAAAGAACAATTTAATATACTAATATATTTACTTAAGGGCATAGATGAGTTGTTAGTGAGGTTGATATTGTATATTAAAACTAGATGTAGTGGTTAGATACCTTTCACATCTGAAAGAAACTTAAATATTTTCACATAGACAATATAGAACAGGGCCCGATCTGGCCCACAGAAGTTTATTTGACTATGTGATAAAATGTTAAAAAATATGAAATTTAGTTAATCATTCAAACACAAGGTTTGAATTTACAACATACAACATTTATTGCATGATTTGTCTCTCTTAGAAAGCTCATTTCACAATTGAAGTGTCATTCATACAACTAACATTTTTTTCCATTCCAAAACATAGCCCGCAGGACTTACTGCAGGTCTCAATGCAGCCCACAGGACTTAATGGTATCAAAGTGGTCAGCAGCCTCCAGGCAGCATGTGGCCTCCATGACATAGCTGCGGGTCCAAATGTATTTGCACAATATTTATTAATCTAGCACAAGAATTAATTAATATTTAATTATTTAAGTAACAAAAATTTGGAAATTAATAGAATTAAGTTAAATATATGTCAATGGATGGGTGTATTTATTGATAAATAGAAATTGCAACAGTAAAGTATAAAGAATTGTTTCGATCTCCATTTGCACCACCTAACCTTACAGTGACCTGTTACGATAAAAAAGGTTTTCCACCTAGACACTTGCTATTCGCTATGGAAATTTCACAAACAACCCACCAATGTGTTTGGGTAGTATATTCAAACAATGTAATTCAACTGCAAATATATTCTGTCCTTTCGGATAGACAGGGTTATTTCCAATCTTTTATTTTTATTATTATTAAATTGTTTTTTAATTTAATCCTAGGCATAGTTATATCCATACTGTTTTGTTATTTTTTTTAATAGTTTTTATTTTAACCTTTTTAAGCATTGTCAATTTATAACCATCACATTAAGTCATTTGCTCAAAATATTGTTTCATATCCAAATTAAAGCGGACAGTTAAGAAAATGTAGGAATAAATAATATTATTATATTTTTGACATATTTTGATATATTTTGAACCCAAATTGTTTGACTCATCGGGAATTATAAAATAATTGCAAGTTTTCAATGAAACTAAAAAAATCTCTACATATCTACAAATTTTCAACCAAATCACAATCTCCTCCTTGTGGCTACACCTTGATTGGGTAAAAATAAACTATGAATTCATTTTTGAATCCAGTATGGAAAAAAAATGAGAGAAAGTAGCAGGGCTTATTTTTATTAGTTAAAATGATAAATGACAAATAAGGTATAGATTTAGAGTGGTTGTCTACTAGTAGAACTACAGACAAGATAAAAGAGGATTATATAATGATAATTGCAAGTATAAAGGATTACGTTGTGTGAAAAGTAACAAAGATATTTTTGGATCATTTACAACAGATAAGTCTATTAGAACCCTAGCAACAAGTTGGACATATAAACAACTGTTTATATAATCCAAACATAGACAAGTTAAAAAAAAAAAAAATAATAAGACAGACAAATGTGTTACTTACTTTTACAAAATCAAAAAATAAAATAATAATTACAATTTTTAAATTATGACCATAAAAATTAAGGTTTTCTCACTTTAAGCCTCTTTTCACAAAGTTGGCTTCTTCTTGGAATAAAAAACAAATAGCAATATTTTCGTATCCCACTTCTTTCTTCCCTAAAAACAAAAAATAATGAAGTGACAATAAAACATTGATGGCATAAAAAAAAAGTCAGCTTGAAACTAACTCATGAACAATGTCAGCAATCATGTCCATAAGATGTATTTGAGGTCTGGATATAAAAATTATGTTATTCACATTTGTTACAGGAAGCTTTCCAAACTTGAGAGGATACATTCTTGAAACATCATGATCCAACAGTATTTTGTACTTGCATATCAATCCAACAGGCCCAGCCAATGCTTCATCCCAAACGATTGCCTTTAAAATTAAAATTTAAAATTCTATAAGATAAATAACAAGCACTGTTAAAATTATACTTTAAATGATATCCAAGTATTTAAAATTTATTCTCTTCAGTTTTCAATTTTTAAAATAAAGTGATAGAAATGTTCTTTATCTCTGCTTTAAATATTTTAATAAAGGCAATAGACAATTATAAATTTTAAAAAAAACATAAAAAATAAGTAAATATATTACAAGACCACTAATATGAAAATAGGAGATCCCAAAATCTTTAAGTGTATAAAAAATACTGTAGAAATAATTCAAAATAGAGTTAATATTAACAAGAATATATATGAATGAGATAAAACAATATTTACAACCAGTAAGTATTGTAAAGACGATCTGAAGGAAACTTCAGCCGAAAACAGAACTAAAAAATGCTACTGTTCATAAAGAGCCCCACATCAGAGATGGTTTGAAGAAGTTTTAGCATTTTCAAAAGTCAAAATGGAAAAATAACAAAAATAAACTCGTTTTTGAGAAGTGGCTTCTATAAAATTTATTCAATCTTTACACTAGTCAGGGAGGAAAGTAGAAAGCATGCTACATGAACTATAATATATAAAATATTACTTTAAAATTCTTTTTTTGTTTGCTTGTTTCTATAATTTTTAAAATGGAAAGAAGGTCGATTGCTGCTTCTTGAATCACAAGCAAGAAATTAAGAAATAGAATAAAAAGGACAATAAAGTAAATATTATCAGCTCCATCTTTTTATGATACCTTCAACATTGTGGATAACAAGGTCAAGACAGCAATTCAAGAATACCAAATAGTACTAAGTAAATTTAAAGTATTTAGTAGAAACTTACAGTGCAGCCATTTTTACTAAAGATGGAAAAACTCTCCACCAACATTAATGTTTTCCAAGGAGAATTTAGCAAATTACAATGATAATAATCCAAGAAAACACAACAGAATTATTGTCCAGATAAACAAAAAAAAAGTTCAAATATCTAACCGTATAATCCAATACCATGGGTGAGAGATAGTCAGAATGCAGTCAATTTTTGAGTTATTTTTTTTATTGCCAATGCTTTAATCAGTACATCTAATCCAATAGAGAACGAATTGCTAAAATATTGAAGAAAGGACTCAATTATTAAGTAAGAAAATTTACAAATAGTATCTCTTACCAAGAAAAATTCTCCAAAGGGATAAGGATTGTACATTAAAAAATTTATAAGGAGCCCTCAAATATTAAAGCGAAAAAAAAAACTGTATAGTGGATCTAAGATGAGTTTGAGTGTAGGGGAAGGGAGCTCGCCCAGCCTTCCCCCTCTCAAGTTTCACCTTCCCAAAAATTAATTTATATCCTTTCATAATTATTTTTTTGGTCTGAGAATGGATAATTTTCCCTCAACACAGTTTATTTGACATAGTAAACAAAAATTGATAAAAGAAATGTTAAGAAAATTGATAAAGGAAATTTCTAATTTTAAAAACATTGTGGAAGTACGTAATAATGAGTAACGAGGACAGGGGATTTTAATGAGTGGCGGATCAGCGGGAAAATGTTTTGTCACTGCACATCTCTCTCCCCCCCTACTCACCCACAACCTCATCTTATACCCACTATACCATTACAACCTATGAAGGGTTCAGTATTATGTAAGGATATTATACTATTTGTTGGTCAACAGTTGTGCAAGGAGGTCATTTGACCGAGATCACCCTCAACCACCAGGTTTTCCCCCTTAATCAATTATTTAATTAAGGGTACCCTTATAAAGGCTGGGTGTGCTCCAGGAGGATTTCCTGACTCCAGGGTCTATCCAGAGCCAACAAAACAGAATAAATAATTTATCTACCATCACCCGGACTGGAACCTAAGACCTTGAGACTTAGAAGTAAGCACCTACCACTGAGCTACCCCACTCCCACAAATAAACAAAAATAATTTTTAAAAAAACCTATACCACTAAAACCCAAGAAGGGTCAAGCATTCACTACTTTGTAAGGAAGAACTGATTTAAGGCAGACGTTACACAGAGAGAGGATTGAGCTAAGATCATGCCCAATCACCAGGTTTCCTCCTTAATTAAATATTTTATTAAGAGTACACACTTTGTTGATGCTGGGTGTTCCCCCAGGAGGGTCTTCAGATCATAGAGACAAATCCTAGAGCTGATGTAACAGAATAAACAATTATCTGCCTAAGACAGACTCAATCTCATTAAAGCTAAAGGTGAATACAAAAACAAGAATCAAATCCTTGTTCACTTGCCTCACTAATAATTCGTAATATGTATACAGAAATAACTCAAAAATACAGTCAGAAATACAATTGGATCGACTCTTTAATAATAAGAATTGCAATATAATAATAACTCCTATTACATAAACAATAAATGCCTACCCTAGTAGGCAGTTTACCAGCTACTTAAGTTGAATGAATCCAAGTTTCACTAAAATTTGATAAATTTTTACCTGGAAGAAAAGGAAAATAAATCTACAAACATGATATTATCTACATTGAGGAATTTTATCTAGTCTCTATCACAGATCTCTCACATAGTTGTAATGAGTTTCATGGGGAAAAATTATGATGAAAATGAAAAGTAAATTCATAAATTAATTTTTTTTAATGAAATTTTATTTATTTAAGATACTGTTCAGCAGAATGTTTTTGTAAAAAATTTTTGTATCTATATGGCCCATTTCATAGTAGTAACTATACTATCTCTTATCTCAAACATAAATTTTATATATATATATATATTCTTTTTAATACTAGCCAGGGACTATACAAGTATCATTTTGAAGAGCATTCACTAGTAACAAAATTATTTAACATACCTTAGGTCCATTACATTTATCAATCAGGTATAAAATTTGTTTTCTCAAATGGTCTTGGAGTAAAGCAATGTTTACTTTACCTCCACTAAGATGATTTGACATAATAAATAATCTTTTAATTCAGAATAAAAAGAAAAAACCGATGTTGAGCTTTAACTGATGGCAATATTATTCAGCACCAAAACCCCATACTTGGTAAATTATAAAATGTTGATAACAAATATATTTTGAAACAGGTTATATATATCAACCATAGAGTACGGCATGCTAATTCAAGAAAAGAATACTGCAGAGGCAACAAATATCTCTAGAGCTCAATCCTTATCAATTTATTTTACTTATATTCTAAAATTAATTAATAATTAAGTGATGCTTGATAAGGCGATTCTTGAATATACTCAATGTGTTATTTTTATAAAATTATTAACATGTAAAACAATACATTTTATTTCCATATTATTTAGAAATGTGATCGGCTAAAGCTGAGCCATCAGTGAACATTTGAATCGAATAGATAGATACAAGTTTATTTTTTCGAACGCTAAGTTCCTCAATATGTAACTTTATAAACAACGAACACAAACTTTGCTCCTTATAACTTTAGCCACAAAGCACTATTTCGAACTTAAATAAAAAGGCTTCTGAAAATCCAGATGGTATCCTTGACCAGAAGCGTTCCCTAGGGGTCCTCCTTATCTCCCACCCTTTTTTCCATCTTTATCAATGACTTTCCGTCCTCTATTCTGGACTATCAATACCAGCTTTATGCCGATGACGTCCAAATTTACCTTTCCTTTGATCTAGCTGATTTAACTGCAGCAATCCCACAAATTCAGGAAGATGTGGACAAAATCTGTGCTTGATCAAACTGCAACAGGCTCACCCTAAAAGCTATCCTTATCGGATCCCCCGCACTCATAAAATCCGATCCCGTGCTTCCCAATCTTCTCCTAAACAACTCTCATATTTCGTTCCAAACATCCGTTAAAAACATTGATGTAATGGTGGAAACAACACATCTCCCAAATTTCCCGTCGTACTATTTCTACTCTAAAACAGGTTAAACGTCAACGATATCTACTTCCATACAAAACCCGTCAACTCCTAGTTTCCTCTCTTGTTTTCTCCCACTTCGGCCAAGTTTGTATGGTATACGGAGGACTCTCGGGAGAACTCGAAGCCAAACTTAAACGCCTAATAAATTGCTGAATACGCTTTATGTTCGGGACCCCAAAGGATACGCATATTACATAGTATTACGCCGAGTTGAAGTGGCTCTATCCATCCTATCGCCTTCAGTACTTCCTTGTTACCTTTCTACAGCAGGTCATTAGAAGTCAGCGACCCGCTTAAATACTTCAGAGCTTACAATTCAAATAAATTGTAATAATTATTTTATTTCAAATCTTTCATTCAATCCCGTCAAACCAGATTCCGTACTTCTGGCCTCTACCTTCCTCCTCATCGAACTACTGCGTTTGACAAATCCTTTGCAATTCAAGCCTTCTCATTTTGGAATTCTATCCCTTCCGATATCCAACATGCACAAATCAGTTTCCTCATTTAAATCTCTCCTTAAATCCGACGGAGAAAAATCCCAAATATTTGCCCACCACCTCTTTAAAACCTTTAATCCACATCCCGATATTCTTAACCCAAATCACCTTGAATGTATTGAAGCAGAACTGGATATCCCACTCCAAATGACTCCTCCTCCTAAAGCCTTTCATCCTTCAGAAATATCCAACATCATTCACAGGTTACCTTCCCGCAAAGCTCCTGGACACGACCTAATTACATCCCAGATCATAAAACTACTTCCTCGGAAAGCCATTCTATTCCTTACATATATATATAATGCTGTACTCCGATCAACATATTTTCCCGACCCTTGGAAACTATCCATTATCAAAATGATACATAAACCCAAAAAGCCACCAGAATACCCATCCTCTTACCGTCCTATCTCTCTTTTACCCATCATGGGAAAAGTCCTAGAAAAACTCATCCTAAAACGCCTGTACCCAATCCTAGATTCTAATCACATAATCCCAGATCACCAGTTTGGATTCCGCAGATCCCATTCCACTATCCAGCAATGCCATCGTGTGGTGGATGTTGTCTCCTCTGCATTAGAGCGCGGAATGTACTGCACGGGAGTCTTTCTCGATGTAGAACAGGCTTTTGATCGAGTCTGGCACCCGGGATTACTTTACAAACTCCGTAAATTCCTACATCCTACATACTTCCTCATTATCCGTTCCTATCTAACTGATAGATACTCAAAAGTCAATCACAATAATGCTTATTCATCCCTCTTTTCCCAGTCCGCTGGTGTTCCTCAAGGTAGTATCCTTGGTCCTATCCTTTACACAGTTTATACAGCTGACATCCCAACCCATCCTAACACTGTTATTACCACGTATGCCGATGATACATGTGTCCTATCCGTTAATAATGACCCAACCATTGCATCCCAAACTCTTCAATCGCACATCACAACCCTTGAAGAATGGTGTAAAAACTGGAGGATTAAAATAAATTCTAATAAATCCCATCAAATCACCTTTACCCTTCGACGTAAACCTATGACCTCATGTCCCACAGTATCCTTTAATAATACCCCACTTATCCCTGTTGAACAAATCCGATACCTTGGACTTCACTTGGACAAACTTGGAATCCTCATACCAGACTGAAACGACAAGAAACCGCTCGACGTTTCCGACTACTCCAACACTTACTAGACAAACGCTCTAAGCTTTCAGTAAATTACAAAAGACTTATATACATGACTACAATAAGACCTATTTGGACTTACGGAGTTGAGCTTTGGGGCTCCACTAAGCCATCAAATTCCTCTCGTATCCAATCCTTACAATCCAAAATCCTTCGGAAAATCCTCAATGCTCCTTACTTTGTCACTAATAAAATTATCCATAAAGATCTTAATGTTCCTTATGTTTCAGATCTGGCCCAATCCAGATACCTATCCTTCCATAATAAACTTCAGAATCATCCCAACCCTCTCGTTTCTAACCTTGCTTCCTCTTCTATTCCTGATAACCCTCCGAGGCGTCTGAAAAGAAGATGGCCTCGAGATCTCTTATTGTAAATACATTTTGTTTTTAGAGTGCTACCAGTGGGTAGTTTCTCAACAAGTCATTTCATGTTTTTATTTTCTGTTATCAAATTTACTTAATGTATTTAATTTTTTAATACAGTTGTAAATATCATGTATAAATAAATAAATAAAAAATAAAAATCTCTCCTTATTAAGCACCTTCTCCTTTTCCAATCCGACTGATCACGAAATGTACATAAGAGAACTTCTTAAGATTGCCCAGAAACCATGTTATATTCTAATGACATTCTATTTTCCTTTGTTTAGTCTGTGTATATATATATATATATATATATATATATATATATATATATATATATATATATATATATATATATATATATATATATATATATATGTGTGTGTGTGTGTGTGTGTGTGTGTGTGTGTATGTATGTTTTTGTTTTGTTCTTTTATCTTCCTATATTTTTATTTATAATTTAATATCATTTTGTAAATATTTAATGTAATGTATGGCCACACAGGCATTTCCTCAGTATTTATACTTTATACTTTCTAAAGGGACAACAGTCCCAGGATAAAAAAAAATATTTTTCATTTCATTTCAAAGTATCAGGAATCCATAGTCCGACGTACGCCTTGTATATCCTTTGCAACAACTTCCCAATTCCTTTGTCTCAGCAAGTCTTAGCAATCGTAAGCGTAGTTCTGCAGAGTTAGAAGTCGTGCCTCAATGCTATATTTAAATGAGCCTATATTCTAGTGTGGCTTTCCACTTTGACTAGTGTCCCTTTAGAATAAATTATAAATACAAAATATATATTAGCATTCTGGTGTGCCCATAAAATACAATAAAATATTTACAGAGTGATTGGTAATAAAATAAAAGTACAGATAATGAAAATATTTAAAAACGCACATAAATATAAAATAAACAGAGAAAGTAAAATAAATAAACAAAATATCAATAAACCACAAAATAATCAAAGTATTTGGAGGTACTTTGAGATCCTTAAGACTTAGATTTTTAAGTGCATTCCATGATCAACCGGATTGGGGATGCAGTAGGTGTTTGAAGAGGAGAGATTTGAAAGAGGATACTGGCTTTGCGTGTCGAATATCAGAATGGATAGAATTCCAGAGGGAGACAACTTGAATTAAAAAGGGTTTGTCAAACGCAGTAGTACGGTGAGGAGGAGGGTAGAGGTCGGACGTACGAAATCTGGTGGGACAGGATTGAAAGGAGCATTTGAATTGTAGGAGCCCGTCCCACCAGATTTCGTACGTCCGACTTCTATCCTCTTCCTCACCGTAGTAGTCAGTATACTTCAAACAAAAGGAGCTGGAAAAAAAATTACGAGGGATGGTAAAATTAAATTCCGAATAACTAAAAAATTATACACTTTTTGTGGAGATTGTGATAAGATCTTTTAAAAGTTTTTAAATTTCCTAAAAAATGAAAGAAGTTTCATCGAAATCGAAGCACTATTAGTAGAGATATCGCGATTTTAAAATATTTTTGGTTTTTTATTACTTTCACTTACGTATATATGTAATATATAGTAAGGATAAGTATTGCGATCGTGAAAATTTTCGAATCTCAGTTAACAACACAAATACATGTTTTGAGGTCCCCTGAGTCCAAATAACCAAGTGTCGCAAAATGGTGTGTGTGTGTTTTAACAGTCTAGCTCATAAATGGAGAGTCGTACGAAACTGATATTACACATTTAAGATATATATATGTCTTAGATGTCCTGGCAACTTTTTCTTTAAAATCGGCTAATTGGAAGTGCCACTTTATATCAACGCTGAAACACATTTTTACAATTTTCTCAAAAACGGCTTTAACGATTTTGATTAAACTCGGTGTATCATTGTATAATTAAGTGGTCTTTAATATCATTTAGGTCTTATCCCCGTTGATGTCACTTTACAGGGCTTAAATGCCCATTGTTTATATATGTCTTCCTCTAAAGTATCTTTAATATGGTTTATTTTAACAAGTTAATCATTTCGCATTATTCAGAGTTACAAAAAAATGCTACATATAACTTTTCAAAGAATTTGATAAGTTAATAAAGGAGAAAAAAAAATAAAAATGCAGAAAAATCTGCGTTTCTATAGACTGTAGCGGCTAAACGAATGTACCGATT